GAGAGAGAGAGAGAGAGAGAGAGAGAGAGAGAGAGAGAGAGAGAGAGAGAGAGAGAAATTTTGTTCAGCATTTCTACATATTATTCTACACATTTCTACATAACGGAGAGCTCTATTATCAAGAGACATACTGATCAAAAGTACTGATAAAAAGTTCTGGCTACCTTTATTAATTACAAACTTACATTCTCTTTGTTTTAACTACTTTATATGCTAGAAGCAAACTTTGTTCTTCTAGAGCATTAAAGCAGCTTGGCTGATAATTCCCCTACAGGTGATAATCTTTCAGACAAAGCCCCCTGACTGAGACATGCTTTCTCCTAGCCCTGCTGCTTCTCCTCCATTTTCCCACCTGACTTTCTTTACTCACAAGGAAGCAGCAGAGGAGACAGAGAAGCTCTGCCCTGCCATGGACCTCAACGGAGAATGTCTGGACAGGACACTCTTCACCCTAGTGAGTCTTACTATACAATTTATATTTCAGGGCTCATTTGCTAAGATAATGTTTTGGTTTGTACCTAGTGCTATGTTTACTCTTATAGGTGCCCAATACCTTTTCCTTTTCTCTGTGGCATTCCAGTTGGATAGAATACTTATTTTTTTTTATGGTTTTATCTCAAGATTCAAGACAGATGTTGATTAGCTGAGATTAGATTAATTGTTACCTGTTAGGTAATTTTCACAGGCATCTCTCTGTGTTTGAAATTATTGTCATGATAAAATCAGAGGATGGTACCTTTTTATGAATGAGCACAGAACTATTCTAAGAAACAAAATTATCATGCTAGATGGGCCTTAAAATGGCTAATAATGTATTGTTGGTCCCTGCACCACCTTTTTGCTGTATGTGGCTCTAGAATGGTATGAGAATATCATAACATTTTCTCTGTATCATAGGATTTTAGGAGATGAATTGCTATGGCATGCCAAGTCTAGGGTTCCATGGGCTCCAAGTTAGTTCTAGCTTTTCTCCTAGGATGGAAATTGTGAGCAAGAGTCATATACTAGAGACATATGTCTTTCCTGGTATAGTGTTTGACAATTCTCTGAAAATGTAGCGAAATCCAGCACTGCCTGCAACAGAACTGGGAGGCATTACTAGACAAACCAGGATGCCACCAGTGGGTGTATAATCTTCAGTTCTACCTCAGGGCACTATTTTGGGGAGGTATTTGCCATTTTGTGAATTCTTGGGTTCATGTGCCACCAATTCAGCAAATGCCCAAAGTTAGCTTCAGTGGAATGTTGACACTTGAATGCTCTGGCAAATAACCAGAATTACAGCTGCAGAGAACCTTGCGGGAGGAGACAGTAGTAAACCAAAGGGCATAGTCTATCTAGCAATGACAGTGAAAACAGAGTGCAGGTTATAGGCTGGGAATAGTTCTTCTGTTCAGAAGATTCCAGAAACTCCACTGAAGTGGAAAGT